GAAAACTACTCTCTCTCTCTCTCTCTCTCTCTCACACACACACACACACACACACACACACAAAACGCATGCATTCTCCCTCCCTCCCCAAGCCCCCCTCCGCACCCTACGTGGCCCCCACTTTATTGCATGTTTTTTCTTTCTTTTTAGTGCTAGCTTGTCTTTTTCCGTAGTTCTCTTTTTGTTTTTTCGTTTCTTACCTGGTTTGTCTCATTTCCTATGCCTACCTCCCTTATAATTAATGTCTTCTTAACCCCTTCATTTTACATCTGCTCCGAATTTTCTTTGAAGCATGTATCACAGCTCTATCACATTGTAACTATTCATGAATGAGATGTAGTGCTCATCCCTAGTATGAACAAAATGAATCCAAATCTTGCTACTTATGTTGGTGTTAGCAACTTCTTCGTTTTTTCACTTGTATGTGTTTGGGTAAGTGACTGTTTCAGTGCTTGATCAGGCTTCATCTTCTGCACCGGATAATTTGAATCAATCACTACGTCGTGATGTGGATGTCACTTGTGATCAGCTTAACACTGTTGGGAAATATGTGGTCTATGGTTTGATAGATCTCTTCGGAGGCCCTGATGGGGATGATGGGTCCTGGGATGGTCACATTGGCTTGGACAATTTACATGAGGATCTTGGCAAGACTTCATCCACTCGTCCAAGTGAAATCATTCATGGTGACAAAATTGTAGAGAGGAGAGGAGATTTCTCACAGTCGCGCGCTTTTGATGCTTCAAGAATAGGAAATATGATAAACTGTGCCCATCAAAGTACAACACATTTTGATAAAAATCAAAGGACTTCTTTACCACCTGCTGTTGTGAGGTTGGACGTTCTTGAAGAAGATAGTGAAGAGGACAGCATAAGTATCTCTTCTAAAGCTTCAGTCTCTGACCTAGAATTGGAAACTGTTACAGAGGTTCATAATAGTCTACTTCCTGTGGATTCGACTGTAAAGGTAATTTTTATTTGATTTTACAGTATGTAGTCAGCTCTGATCTTCACATCATGCGCCATTTAGATCTGTAACATTTGTTCGTTTTTTGTAGGTTATTCTGATCTTCGCATCAATAATCATTTAAATCTTGTAGCATTTGTTTGTTCTTAATTGCCATAAAAAGAATTCTGATTCTTTCCATGTATTGTAACATTCTTAAGTTGTGCACTGAAAGAGCTTCAATGACTTTGATTGGCTCTAAATTGAAATTACCCAGTCCTTCATTTAAGTTATAGTTGTAACTGCAAGAAGTATGGATAGATCTCATTAGATCTTCTTGGACAAGTATATTTAATACGATCATAATTCAGACTTGAATAAACATGCAGATTATTTTCATCGGGGCCTATGCCATTCATCCCCATAGGATGAATCATTCGAATTTATGCTTTATAGATGATCGTGAATTTAGAAATTTAATGTTTAATATGTGTTAGGTGTGGAGCCTCTTACTGGATGTGGAGTTTTATAGCAGAATCTCGAATACTGCAAAAACTGATATCGCTATGTTAAGTTTCAATTTTATAGTTGTCTTTTTCTTAAGCAAGACATGCACTTGTTAAAGGTTTCATAGTGTGCATATGTCCAATTAATGGATTCTTATCTTTTTTTAATGCTGTATGTTTTCCTTGTATGTCTATTTTTATTCTAAAATTTGTTATTGTGCTTTCTATTCCTATATAAATGAGATCACTCTTGTTTTAGCAATTCCTCACCTTCCGTGAGGAGTGAGGCTTAGTGCTTGCACTTCTCAGTGGGATACTTCTGTATGTCCTACACAGTATTCTTTGTTTATCACGTCAAGTTTGTCATTATGTTTTTAGTAAAACAAGCAATTGTTCATATTTGCTGGTTGCTATTTTTGAGGTTTGACATACTATTGAATCCTTAGTACACATTGTTCATTATTCTTTCAATTACCTTCTGTGTGATGAAACTGAGGCCATAGGTCCTGATAACATCTTGATGTATTGTTTTTATTCATTGAATCCGGGAAATTTCCTTGCATTATTTGATTACATTAGAAGAGCTTTGCATTGAATTTTTGTTCTCCTAGGATGTGGATATTGTTCCATTGGGTTGCTCCAACTTTTCACCATCATAGGATGCATTTCATTCTTACTCATGGTTTTCTGGATTTCTTCTTCATGTTGAGGCATTATATTTTTATATAAAAGATTCTATTTTATCTGGAAGATTCCATTTTAGAGGTTTGAACACACAATCCATATAGTTGATGCCATTATTTTTGTAAAACTCTCTTAATGTGACATCAGAGATAAAGAAATCTAGTATGTTCAAGATAGCATGCTCAAAATATTATGACTCTCAGCTCTCTCTTTTCCTATACTTTTTTCAGCTTTAAATGTTAACCTTATTAGTATTTTGTCTTCTTACAGAATTCTGCTATTAAGCAATCAGGGAATTCTGATTCCAGTGCTTCAGAAGATGATACATCAGATTCATATATTTTAGTTACACATAATCAAACCCCTGAAGCCATGGAAAAGAATTTACTAATGGTAAGTTTGCTGCTGGTTTTTTTATCTTTTGCACTTTCCTTGATATAATGTGCTAAATTCGATTGCCTTCGTACTAGGTTCATTTGCTTCGTCTCGTTTGCTCCTCCAAAGGATTGGTGCCTCATGAATTGCCTGAAATTGCAACCGAATTGTACAATTTAGGGGTACGTAGTGATTGGTATGGTAATCCAGTTACAGTTCACATTCTTCTCAAGATCTTTTGTAGTATTTATGTACTGCTTGGTGGTGGCTTGGATCAGATTCTGTCAGATTGGGCAAGCGACTTGGCAACCAAACCGCAGATTGTCTTCGAGAGAACCTTTCGTCATGTCTTCGAGAAGCATATGGTTAGCCATTGTATTTGATCCCACTCTATCACATTGTTGTCTCCCTAGATACACGGTAGATACATGTCATGGATGAATTGTAATAGTCTTTCTGGTTCTGCACAGTTATGTTCCCCTGTCTCTCAGTTTTGGAAAGCATCTACGTATCCTTCTGCAGATAACTCCTTGTCTAGTGCGACTTCCCGTTACTTAAACGACTTCGAAGAAATTTGTTCTCTTGGTAAGCAGAAATTCTGTCTTAGCCTTAGTTAGCATTTGAATTTGTTACTTTGTAATGCTGCTTATTATCAATGAGATCATCAAATTTTGGTCATAGGACTTGTTGAGTTGGCAGGTAATTAGAAATAAATGGATGTGATTAGTTTCAAAGAGGTGTTTATTATGGGACGGCATGACAATATATATTCTGCAGGGAATTAAATGTTTTCCGATCTTTGTGTATGTGCATGTTTATCTGCATGCAAAATGCACATATTTTTGCTTGCATGTGTGTGCGAGTGTCGATGCGTAGAAGTTTGTGCATGCATGCATGTGATGTTGTGTGCCGGCGTACATTGGCCTTGAAGTCATAGATATGCTCTTTTTCTTATTTTTTAAGTTTAAATCATGGGAAAGGTTGAGGAAACATGAAATCTGATGAAATAAATTGGTTTTTGATCACCTGTCTGTTACATTCTGTGGGAGCCGAAACCTTCTTGAGTTTTTACAGCTTGTTATGGCTAGTCAATATGTTATGTGGACCATCATTACCATCTCGCCTTTGACAATGATTTGGCTAATTGTTTACCATTTTACATACTGATCACTGCTTCCTCTTTCTTTTGGGTAATTCAGGGGGGAAGACAGGGCCTTACCCATGATTTCAAGTAGTTTAGGAGTTAGTTTTTTGAACGTGTTAGTGGGAAATTTACTACGTCCTCTTGATCCCAATATATGATTCCTTTCTCACTAAGCTTGCTTGGATTTGGAGGCCCCAGATGGAGGTTCCTTGTCAATTCTTTAGCGATTGAATGTGTACTCAGTGTTCAAAGAGTTGCCAAATTCAACTTGGACTTGGGTGAGTAGCTCAGCCTTGGCAGCTTGCCAAGGATGTAACAACGTATCAAAAGTTACTCAGGGTGAGTATAGTGCAGGCTCACCCTAGTACGGTTTGCATAGTACTCAGGGTAGTCACTAGGGTACTCACCCAAGTATTGTTCAATCATCATAATAGCCCTCGTTTTGAGCTGTAGAGTCAGTCTCCTAATACCGCTCAAATTTGTCCCTTAGGTAGATTTTTGCTTGATCTATGCATGGGTCGAAGAGCTTTGAATCCCAAGCCTGCGTTTAGGTTATTGATCCAAGCCTTTTTTTCCCACCTAAAATGAGCGAAATATTAGACTTTGATGGATTTAAAATTCGGATATACTATTCATCCAAATTCTCAAGAGCTCGGATCTCCTAGATCTGAACTCAAAACCCAAAATTGGTCGAGGGGTTTTGATTTGAGTTGTATAATGAAGATTGCACAAGGACTTGATTCATCGAGTCCCACTTAGTGCAAAGACCAGCAGCTTAGTCTTGAAATTTTGGGTATGTTTTATGTTCTTCAATTTCACCATCATCATCATCATCATCATTATCAGAGCCTCATTTCAATTGTTTGTGTATGTTTTATTTTTTCAATTTAAATTCATAAAATTGTTTTTTACTAAGATTTTTAATTTACTCTATATTTACATTTTATTTTTTATAAATTTTCTATTTGTCTATTTTCCTCTTCTTCTTTTTAAAGATATTTCTTAAATCAGTAATAGTATTTTTTTTTTTCTATTCTGTGTTTTATATGTTTTCTACTTAGTCTGAAGTTTTGGGTTTTGGGTTATATATATATATATATATATTTTATTTATTTATTTTATTTTTTTTCTTCAGATTTTCCTCAATTTTTTAGAATATTTTCCACGTATTGTGACATTTTTGTGGCTCTGGTAGGACTTAGGCAAGTAAACTCTAACTCACCAGAGTCATTCAGCTCGGTAGGGGGCCGAGTACCTTGCTTGAGCCGATTGAACACTATATATTCTTGTCAGAAAGATAGACTTATGGATCTCACCTAATGTTACTTTGAAGGCTGCCTAGTATAGTTTGAAATAGTGTTTTGAAACTGAACTTGCTCCAAAGACCTGACAAGGGCCGGGAGAGTCAGCCTGCCAAGTCTAACGTTCACTCAGCAGGTATTGCCTGGTTCCACAAGAGAGAGAGAGAGAGAGAGAGAGAGAGAGAGAGAGAGAGAGAGAGAGAGAGAGAGAGAGAGA